GGAGGCTGGCACCGCCGCTGCATCCTGCCCCCGGCTCAGGCCTGTCTGCCCCAGGACATGAACCTACCCCCTCCCCGCCCCGAGCCAGCCCCCCAGCACCCCCTGGCTCCTCTCTCCCTTCCAGCCTCCGCCCTGTGCCATGGGTCACACGGGAGTGGGGGCACCCCATGTGCCAGGGGTCCCATTCCAGCTCATCTCTGACACAGGGGAAACGGATCCTAATCACACTCATTAAGGACTCCCGGGGGCCCACTCGGCGCTGCTCACACTTAATTAGTGGAGTCTTGTAATTAGCACAGCCACGACAGCCCCCACGGGCCCGTCTATGCCTGGCACCATCCAGGTGCCCACGGCTGCAGGACGGGATCCAGATTCTGCAGCCCCCCCCAGCACGGGGGGGCCCGGCGATGCCCTGCACGCTAGCAAAATGCAGCCAGGTCTGGGGTGGGCACAGGAGTCACTAGGCCGGGGCCTACAGGTGCACACCCCGTTCCCAGGGGGGTATAACCGTGCTCCAGTCTCCAACTGGACAATCGAGCTCTAGGCCCCTGCGTACACAGGGCTGTGCTCTATGGGGTGCGGCACTGCTCCACCTGCACCCCCTTTACCAGCTCCTGGATCCACCCCAGGGTGCAGAGGGGTCAGGCAGGAAGACAAGGTGTCCAGGGGGCAGATCCAAGCAGGTGAGTCTATTGAGTTCATGGCTCAATTGCAATCTCCCCGATTCCTGTTGATCTCTCCACCCCACAGGTGTTAACAGCGGTCTGGATTCAAGCCGGCCTTGCTTCTGTCTGCCGGCCCTTCCTGATCCCCCCTCTCTTCTCCCTCCCGACCTCGCAGACCGAGTTTAGCTCTAGCCTCAGACCTGAACCCATGCAGGGTCACATGAGCTCAGGCGAGCGCGACCTCGGGTGCGGAAACGACCAGCAGCGACGGCTGGGAGACGCTCAAGAAGCAGACTTTGAGTCTGTGAGGCTAGAGAAGAGAAGGGCGCTCCCCTGGGAGGCCGCAGGGCTCGCGCCACGTGAACGTGGGGCTGTTGTGTGCCTAGTGGGCGTTGGGGGGGTTTTAAGCCTCCGAGATAGAATTTAGCGCACGAGGCTACGTTCCCGTAACTATTTGCGTTCGCTTTGCTTTTAGGCTGAATAATATAGGGCGAGACACGCCCCCCCCCCCAGCTATTTGATCCCAGCCCCTTGCCCCAGCCTACCCCTCGGCCAGGCAGAGCCCAGGCGTCCTGGCTCCCAGTGGCCAAGGGCTTTCTGGGTAGTGCTGGCAGCCATGGGAGGGGCCGGCCGCTGCATCAAAGACATCATCCACTTCATTAAAAAGGAGGGAGCGGCGTTAACACTGGGGAGCGCAGAGAGATTAGCAGGAACCAAGGGGATGGTAAGAAACCATGAAGTCAACTGACTCCCCCACTGCTGCCTGAAGAGAACTCAGCTCCGCCCACGGGCCCGGGTGGTCAGCAGCAGCTAGGGATTCAGCTTTAGTTGAGCAGGGAAGGGAGGGGGAGCGCATTCAAGATGAGGCTCTGTGAATGGGAAGAACTGAACACTGGGCAGCTGGTTTGAATCCACTTACCGTATTTTCTTGCATATAAGACACCCCCAAAGATGACACGTGCCTTATTTTAAATGGATCCTTCCTCGGGAGCCCGATGTACGACACATGCGGCTTTACTTTCAGCCCTGCCCCACCCACAGCAGAGACAGAAATGGCAGTTACCATATTTCTGGGTTTCTGATCCACGCCCCAATCTCCAGTAAATGAATACTGGGGGGGTGCACGTGTACACCATACAATACGGTATGCTCACGGCTGCTTATTTGCTGGGTACGGCAAGGCAGAAGCCCCCTCTTCTATCTGCATATCACACATCCTGAAACAAGATAAGCCTTTCCCCATTTAACCTCCCCCCTCCCCCCATTACCAATCACTAATTAAAGGGGAAAAGACAAGTGTGGCACGTGAACAAACAGGATACGTTCCGTGTTTTCTCACATACAACACGCCCCTGAATAGACCCCCCTTGTTTCTGAGAGGCAGAATGAGAGAGAAAAGGTTTTTTCCCCAGTTACAGCAGCATAGAGCAGGGACAGGGCCTCGTTTTCAGCTCACTCCTCCTCCCTTTCCTGCTTAACAAAAGCTGAATCCCTAGCTGCTGCTGGAGACCCGCTCCCATGGGCGGAGCTATAACTACTATTCAGGTAGCAGTGGGGAAGTCAACTGACTTCATGGCTTATAACCATCCCCCTGGTTCCTGCTAATCTCTCTGCACTCCACGGGCGTTAACGCCGCTCCTTCCTTTTTAGTGAAGTTGGTGATGTCCTCGATCTAGTCCAACTTTCTCTTTCTGCTGTGACCCCGTCTGCCCAGCCACCCCAGGCCAGGCCGGCAAACAGGAGACACCAGGAGCAGGTAGCAGACTGCAACACTGCTCTGAAAAGGCTGGCCTGATTACTGGACTATCAAGGCCTTTATAAAGGAGAGATGGTCGTGAACACCTGCAGTGAAGAACAATGAATGCTCCGTGTGTCGGGCCAGGTTTCACCTCCCCACCGTGGGGCTGGGTCAACACTCCTGCTGCACCAACCGCAGGGTCCCGGCTGGAGGGTCTTGCCCCTGCTCAGGCTCAGCCCCACGCTGCACTGGGGCAGGAAGGGATTTCCCTCTGCTCAGACTGGTTGCACTGGGGGGGGTTTCCCCTTCCTCTGCAGCAGGGGCACGGCCTGGGCCTGGGCTCTCTGCAGCGCCCATGACCCCCCTGGCAGCAGCAGGACGTTGGTGGCCACGGCCCCCCTGTATCCCCGGGGCAGGGGCAATGTCTGGGGCTGTGTCAGGGGTGACAGTGTTGTGCCGCTCCGAGGTTGGACACAGAGTTTGTCTGGGGTTTTGGACGGGGCCGATCCTGCCTCAGACTGGATGTGACCCCGCGGCTCTGGGATGGTGCGACTCTATGACCTGCCTCTTGCCTCTCTTCGGGGGCGAGGGGGGATGGCTGAGGGTTTGCAGCCATGTCCTCAGCTGGTGCCAAAGCTTGCAGAAAAGGACCCAGATCACACCATGCTCCCTCCCACCTTCCAGTCCAAGCTGGGACCGGCCCAGCCTCACCCTGCCGAGGACCAGCCCGGACCTGACGGGCAGCAGGACTAACGGTGGGGGGAGCCTAGGGCTGGGGATGGGCAAGGGGCTGCAGTCGGGAGCGAGGGGCACCAGCCGGGCTGGGCGCACCCCACACCTCCCCCAACAGGCACTGTGGCCCCCACGGGCGCTGCCCCCCGGTGCATGATGGGATCATGGACCACTCCCCCCC